ATTAGCTGATAAAGGGTCTGCAATAATGAAAAGACAAGAGAACGTCTTTTCTTCGACTTTTCATAGGGTTCCTAGGGTCCGAAGATTTCTCATTTCACTATTATTTCATAAATGGTGGTTTTTTTAGGTCGAAATCCTATAACGCTGACGGGCGATTTAGGCGACGAGGTTGATGCCCTACGCTGCACTCCAAGACCCCGAACTGCTACGCCTCGCGAACGTGAGTGTTCGATGCGCGTTTTTTAATCTTACGGCATTCTGTTTTTCTGTAAACCCAGAAGTGCATGTCCGGCCATGCTGAAAATGACATCATGAGAGCGTAGTTGCGTGAGCCGGCACAATACATGTTCTTTCACCCAACCGCCACAACCCCTGTTTCATCTGATTAAAAGAGGTTCCTTCCTACCACAACTGTTGGTACACAGCGTAGAGATTTTTACGCACTAGAATGATCAAACCATTTGGCCTTTATGACGTTAAAGGTGCTGGGAGTCATTAATATTTTTACTGTTATAGCACAGAGAGATCCAATATCTGGACAGGGGAATTTCGGCCAGCGGGAATGGGACCCTATCTGGAAATACAATGGAAAGGCTCGCAGGGCTCGAAGTTCTACAGGTGGGTCGGTGTACTTCGTGCTCATTTGACATTCCTAATGATATACAATGTAGCTGCGAGAAAATTCCTCGGTCCTATTTAACCATCTACCTAACCAAAGACCCTCGGAAGACAGCCCACTTTGACTGCTTAGATTGTTAACACTGGATAAGTATGGCAGCCAAGATCAAGCCTTGCCGAATGTAAAAAAGTAGGTTTGTGTGCCTAATTCTCCCGTGAATCCAATGGTCGATAGTATAGGAGAAAAGTATGTGTGGACGATGAAAGGCATCTGTTTTGACGACAATGACGCATACCTATTAAACCTGCAAGTCGTCCCTATTCTAACGTGTGGAATGACTTTAGATGTGCTATCTACGTCAAAAAATATGTTCTGATGGATTTCTCGTTAGCTTATTTGGTTGTTGCCGATAAAAAGTGACTTGCGGATTACAGCCCGTCCCTTCATCTTCTTTAAACACAAGCAGTGTGTTTGACGAGTCATGGCTGTCCGATGACGGATGAACTGCAAGTGTTCTAAACTCGCTACCCCACCTATTCGCTCGCGCAAACTATTGGGTCGGTTGTCTGGTAAACAAATGTGTGGGCGACAGCAATGCATGCGGTCTGTTTCGCTTGACAGAACAGTTCGTTGCATGAATAAACTCCTCACAGTGAACAAGCCTAACAATGGTAGATCAAGCTGAAGGTATCAGTGGGTTTGTGAGCTAGACTGAATAGAGTGGCTCTTACACTGCAGAAGCAGACAAATGTTTAAATCTTTTCCCACACCGACATCACATGTGTATAATCTACGCAGAGCATATGTTGGAGAAAGTTGGAATTTTCTGAAAGACAGACTGCCCAAGAAAATGCGGACCTCGAGAAAGCAGTGGCTTGTGAACAGTCCTAGCTTCCTGCAACGCAGGCATAAAGTAATAAGCCAGCCTAAGGTGTATGATGCAAAATCGCCTGCAAATGTGTTAGACAGGTGAAGTTGGCAATTAAGTGGTTCTTCTAAGAATCAATAAACTCTTCTAGACTGTTGTATGACTTCTTTCTTTTGTTGCCGCAACCACTAATCAAAGAGGCTAACGGGCCATACATACCCCACGTAACGCATTATGATTTCATTTTTAATCTCATTTCCTGACCTCAGTAACATTGAAGTCGAAAAACGCCTGACTTGGCTGACTGGGTTTCATGGTAGCGTCAAAATTGTCAAGCAGCATATTTTTGTCTTTCCGAATCAACTGGCAATATTGTCTGCCTGAAGTGTGGGGAATGTACCATATAAATTTTTGCTCTAAAGGCTGCGAGATTCTTAGCCAATAAGCTTAATAAGATTATGTCAAAAGAAAAGTGTTGTTTTATTCTAGCCTGAAGCGCATCACTTTCTGTGTATTTCCTGATTAGTTGAATGACATCTCTGACTTTTTTGAGAACGCAGACTGCGGTTGTATTCGTGCCACAAAGTAGATATCGATTCTTTCCTTTATATTAAGGTCGGTGGGAGGCACCTTGAACGTCAACCTGTGGTTTACTTATGCACTACTTTCTCCTGCTGCCTTTATCAGTTCGCTATCATTTTAGATATAATTTTCAGATTCTACGTTCATTATGGCATGTAGTTCATTTTTGAGTCAATATAGTTAAAAAATTTAAGTTTATATTTTTTTGATGTTGCTTCAGAAATTTGAAGATAAACACTTAAAGGGTCAGAAAACTTTTGCGATTTCTAAAAGGCTTTTGAGTAATGTTTCTATCGATAAGTCTCCAAAATAAAGACACCTGTAGGATTCGAAAGTTTTCAAACTATTTGAAACTGCGTGAGCCCATTTGCAGGAATTAATTGACACCGACCTTTCGACCCTTGTTTGGAATCCCCTGCGCCCTCGCTGCAACACGCTCTCTTATGGTGGATACATTTTCCATTATTTGATAGGATTAGTTCGTGTCCTTCTTATGATTGTTCTTTGTGTTTCACTGAGTGATGAGCCTCTAACACAGCAGCTGTTTTTTTATAATAAACGTCCTGGTTTAGGACGCAAGCCAGAATAAAAATGTATTCAAAGTGAGCTCTCAGTTAAATATTTCAATTGGCCCGATTGTGGACTGTCTAGACCTTCAATTCTTAAATATCTACAGCCTGGGCTGGAATGGATGAAGTACTAGCCAAAACATTTTAGATTATATTTCAACTGCACGGGCTGAAGAGAC